TCGCCATGATTCACATGAATGCAGCTTCTAGCTTAAAGCTTCACGAAACCACGAAAAGTTCAATTCGAAAAGGTCTTTCGTCAGAGACGCAGTATCACTGGAGTTGTTCACCGCGGCTATAGGAAAGGTTTTCAGGGCATTCCGTTTCTCAGATCTGGGGCTGAACATACTGGCACTACTAGACCCAACTGCGGTTTGCGGTCGATATCCTAATCCTCTCATGTCGCCAGAAATAAGCTAAAAAGAATTCAAGAACGAATCGAAATAGGATTGAAAATGAACCCGAATGAATGACTCAGGACCTGTTTAGCATGTACGTACCACGTGACTTGTTAAAGTCAACAAACTTAGGCTTGAACAGGTGCAAAACTATGTCTATTAGGGACAGCTCATCTTTGTGATGAAGAATTGAGTGTGTGAAATCCTTAACAGAAGAATAAAAATGACACGGAACACCTGGAAAACTGGAAGAGTTTTTAAAAAAAACTACCTTTGTTGTTGAAGCGGAATGTTTTCTGTTTGTGGGCTCTCAGTCGTAACCTTGTGGTGCGTAACATTGACCTTAAGCATGAAGGTTATTGACAGATTACAGGCTACTCAAAAGCAGCATTGGTTCTTGCGCAGCAACTAAAGATCCATCTTTGGAGTCGCAGGAAAAGATTAGATGAATAAATGGATAGGAGCACAAGCTGGTGTTTTAGATGATGTTCCCGAGTGGAAAAGTTAAAATGGCAATGCGCGAGGAAAATTGCAAGAAGAATTGACCGTCAATGACTGGACCAGAGAGACACTACATGGGATTCCAAGAGGGAGTAAACTACCCTTAAGGAAAATTAGAAAGTCGATGGCAGAATGAGCTGAAGAAGTTCCCTGCATCAAGATGAATGGAACTGGTGGGAAACAGAACTGTGTGACGAGCTCTTGGAGAGACCTTCAGGTCAGCAGTATCGATCGACAGAGGCTGATGATTAATGATAAATTGTCATTTTCTTCACTTTCTTCATAGTGAGCAAGATAATGCCTAGAAAAAGGCCGTTTATATGTTCCATAACTAGCATTTCGCCTCATGTTCTAAAGATAGTAAAGATGGCGTATAATGACGTTTTGACAGAGACTAGGTTTATATGTTTGAACCCAATACTGAATGTCAGTTGTTTTGAATGTTACATAAATAGATCAGCTATAGTGAGGGATAATGAAAAATCCTGTTGGAATTCCTGTTGTTCCTTGAACTGGAAGTAGTTGAACATGAAAAGACATCGTCAGCAGTCTGAAAATAAAACTACTTGAGAAACTATTTTCTTTCTTCAGATCGAAGAGTATCATGGTTATTTTTCTACTAAATGCGCAGGATAGCTGTCACTGGGTGCAATTATTTCCAGTTCAACGGCTATGTCGTCAGTAGAGTGCAATCCATATCTTATTCTACCTTGTCCTCTATTGTGACGGACCAGTTTATGCAGTATATAGAACAAGGCCTTCACTCTCTGTGATTGAAGTATTTGAGCTTTGTTTATCCATGTATGACATCATAAACGATATCGTCACTTTCAGCGCAAGGATGTTATGCTGCGTACTGAATAATTTTCAGGTGCTGCAGTTGCAAAATGAAATCGAAAATCTGACCGTTGACGCCGATACTGGCCGTTGCGTTTTTTTATCCGACATTTGTTTCAAGCCGACCTACCCTGACAACCGAAACTGTACGATTTTAAGCGCTCTCGGCTACTTTCAAGGCAGTGCGTTGCTGTTAGAAGACACAGATGAATTTCTTTGGCTAAGGCATATCAAAGCTTGTATTGCGTACGTATTGCTCTGTATTTATAGCTCCGTATTCCTGGAAAGTGCTAAGTTCTTGTTTCAGGTCTCCCGCGCTTGCTAGCGACATTGAAACGAATGGACTGTCATGTCTCGCGCCTTTTGGTGGGCTGCTCATGCCCTACGTTGTATTTGGGGGATACAAAGGTAGGCGACAATTCTCTTTAAGAGTTACACCGATACGCTTTCCATAGCGAATGCGAACTATTTTTAGTCTGAAAACTGCATTTTTATATTGCGATTCCAGACGCACAACGCCTACTATCACCTGATAAAGGAAACGAAGCTGTGGCTGCTTCTTAAATATCGCGCTGTTCGACACCCCTCCAGATTCCTGTAGAGAATGATGTGAAACAAGAGGAAAAACTCACAGAGCCCTCCACTGTCTAATCTTCACTCCTCCAAGCCCTTCACTGTTTGGAAATGGTATTCTGGCAGATAAACTGGAAGGGTGTGATTAACATCAATAATGAACAGCTTAGCCACTCTAAGTTCGCTGATGACTTGGC